TGAAATTAAACAAAGGAAAGGAATAAATGAGAACATCAGAGGGGGAAATGGAATTAAACCAAGGAAAGGATTCAATGAGAACATCAGAGGGGGAAATGGAATTAAACAAAGGAAAGGAATAAATGAGAACATCAGAGGGAGAAATGGAATTAAACCAAGGAAAGGATTCAATGAAAATCAGAGGGGAAATGGAATTAAAACAAAGGAAAGGAATAAATGAGAACATCAGAGGGGGAAATGGAATTAAACCAAGGAAAGGATTCATTGAGAACATCAGAGGGGGAAATGGAATTAAACAAAGGAAATAATTATATGAGAATATCAGAGAGGGAAATGGAATTAAACAAAGGAAAGGATTAAATCAAAACATCAGAGGGGGAAATGGAATTAAACAAAGGAAAGGATTAAATCAAAACATCAGAGGGGGAAATGGAATTTTAAATCAGAAGAGAAATGGAATTAACAAAGGAAGGATTAAATCAAAATGGGGAAATGGAATTATTGGAAAGGATTAAATCGGAACATCAGAGGGGGAAATGGAATCAAACAAAGGAAAGGGTTAAATCAGAACATCAGAGGGGGAAATGGAATTAAAGTAAAGGGTTAAATCTGAACATCAGAGGGGGAAATAGAATTAAACAAAGAAAAGGGTTATATCAAAACATCAGAGGGGGAAATGGAATTAAACAAAGGAAAGGATTAAATGAGAACATCAGAGGGGGAAACGGAATTAAACAAAGGAAAGGAATAAATGAGAACATCAGAGGGGGAAATGGAATTAAACCAAGGAAAGGATTCATTGAGAACATCAGAGGGGGAAATGGAATTAAACAAAGGAAATAATTATATGAGAATATCAGAGAGGGAAATGGAATTAAACAAAGGAAAGGATTAAATCAAAACATCAGAGGGGGAAATGGAATTAAACAAAGGAAAGGATTAAATCAAAACATCAGAGGGGGAAATGGAATTAAACAAAGGAAAGGATTAAATCAGAACATCAGAGGGGGAAATGGAATTAAACAAAGGAAAGGATTAAATCAAAACATGAGAAAGGGAAATGGAATTATTGGAAAGGATTAAATCGGAACATCAGAGGGGGAAATGGAATCAAACAAAGGAAAGGGTTAAATCAGAACATCAGAGGGGGAAATGGAATTAAAGTAAAGGGTTAAATCTGAACATCAGAGGGGGAAATAGAATTAAACAAAGAAAAGGGTTATATCAAAACATCAGAGGGGGAAAATGGAATTAAACAAAGGAAAGGATTAAATGAGAACATCAGAGGGGGAAATGGAATTAAACAAAGAAAAGGATTAAATGAGAACATCAGAGGGGGAAATGGAATTAAGCAAAGGAAAGGATTAAATGACAACATCAGAGGAGGAAATGGAATTAAACAAAGGAAAGGATTAAATCAAAACATCAGAGGGAAAATGGAATTAAAAAAAAGGAAAGGATTAAAAGAACATCAGAGGGGGAAATGGAATTAAACAAGGAAAGGATTAATCAAACATTGAATTAAAAAAGGAAAGGATCAAATGAGAACATCAGAGGGGGGAATGGAATTAAACAAAGGAAAATATTAAATCAAAACATCAGAGGGGGAAATGGAATTAAAGGAAAGGATTATATGAGAACATCAGACGGGGATGTGGAATTAAACAAAGGAAAGGATTAAATGAGAACATCAGAGGGGGAAATGGAATTAAAGGAAAGGTTTAAATCAGACCATCAGAGGGGGAAATGGAATTAAACAAAGGAAAGGATATTCAGATGAAGGAAAACATCAGAGGGGGAAATGGAATTAAACAAAGGAAAGGATTAAATGAGAACATCAGAGGGGGAAATGGAATTAAACAAAGGAAAGGGTTAAATGAGAACATCAGAGGGGGAAATGGAATTAAACAAAGGAAAGGGTTAAATCAGAACATCAGAGGGGGAAATGGAATTAAACAAAGGAAAGGGTTAAATCAGAACATCAGAGGGGGAAATGGAATTATTAATCAGGAAATGGAATTAAACAAAGGAAAGGATTAAATGACAACATCAGAGGGGGAAATGGAATTAAACAAAGGAAAGGATTAAATCAAAACATCAGAGGGGGAAATGGAATTAAACAAATGAAAGGATTAAGTCAGAACATCAGAGGGGGAAATGGAATTAAACAAAGGAAAGGATTAAATGAGAACATCAGAGGGGAAAATGGAATTAAAAAAGGAAAGGATTAAATCAGAACATCAGAGGGGGAAATGGAATTAAACAAAGGAAAGGGTTAAATCAGAGGGGGAAATGGAATTAAACAAAGGAAAGGGTTAAATGAGAACATCAGAGGGGGAAATGGAATTAAACAAAGGAAAGGATTAAATGAGAACATCAGAGGGGAAAATGGAATTAAAAAAGGAAAGGATTAAATCAGAACATCAGAGGGGGAAATGGAATTAAACAAAGGAAAGGATTAAATCAAAACATCAGAGGGGGAAATGGAATTAAAGGAAAG